CATAGACTGTACATACAAAGAGACGTTAGAACAAAGAGACGTTCATTCAATTAAAAGAGAATCAGATGTTTCAAAAACCTCCCTGATCTAAAACAAGGCCTGACCAACTTGCTCACTTGTTCTGCTTTATTCATGTTCTGCTCAAGGCCGACGATGCCTCTGTGGTGGCGATATGCTAATGTCCTGATGCTAAAACGTTAAAGCTCAGCATTGAGAAGGTGTGAACTTCAGCTGTGGCTCACACAGAACATCCACTTCCTCCTAAACAGGTTTTATTCGTGTGACGCAGCATCACCTTCCCTCTGACTTGTTTTGTGAAGAGCCGTTTGTTTTTCCATCTTTATTTTTTAATAAATTAATTAATTTCTTTCTGGTCTTGCTGTGTTTTTCTCTCCACACACCCACTCGGCGCAGCGCTGCCTCAGAATCTGTTTCACTCACTAAATTGGCTCCTCAGACACCCTTCCCCTTCTTCCACATCTCTCATTTAAAAAGTGAGAAATTATAATTATCTGAATTATGCTTTTAATGATGCGTTAATTAGAGTCATGGAGTGAGATTAGCCTATGAATTATTACTTGTGAATTTGTTCCAGATTCATACGAGCTTCTTCTGCCGGCAGAGAGGAGGGAGAGAAATGTTGCCGTGCTCGGTGATTAGCGCACCAATAAATAACAGAACAGATTGTGGTGCATATGCTTACGATTACAACTTTTAAACCAACACTTTAAACTCACACCGACTGTCTTCTGCTGGCAAGAGGTTTCTGCACCAACAGCCAGTCAGTTTTTTGTTCCCTTATGAGGCCCTCCATGCAATTCTCACCAAATGTGAACTATTATTATACTGTGTTAGAAGAAAGCTGATTGTTGTGCTCGCAGTTTTTACAGCTTGTGAGCTGAATGGTTGCAAAATGACTCCAAGAGAAGGAGAGTGTTTAATACAGGGAGGCTAAGCTGCATCTTAAAAAGGGTTTGTGTGCATTCATGAATGGAACAGAACACACACCCAGCGTGGTTAGAATTATTTAACTTATTCTCATTAATTACACTTTGATTACTTTATGTGTCTGACATCCTGGAGGTAATAGGTCTCCTTGACTGAATCTACTTTAGGAGGAGACCGAAGCTTTGAGAGAACCCAATCTAAGACAAACCCTCGATGTTTGCTGGTGAAGGTTCTCATGGCAATCCAAAAGGGTTCAAATGAAGGCAACTGGACTTCTTTGGTTTCTTGAAGATGTTTTGCTTCTCATCCGAGGAGTTTTGTCAGTTCTAACTGGAATATGGGAGCTTGTTATTGTGGCTGTCTGTTGTTGCTTAATGAGCAGAAACTACCTATGAATACCCCCTCTCCACCTGCTGATAACTCTTTTATGTGGGAATCGTTTATTAGATGCAGGAGGGTGTGACCTAGATTTAAACTGTTTTGGAATAAGGTTCAGAGCTGCATTATATGTTCTCTAAGTTATTTTTTGTATCACATAGATGGCTTCCTTTACTCCTCTCTCAAACCATCTATCTTCTCTGTCCAAAATGTGTACTTTGTCATCTCTAAAACATGTGTCCCTTGTCCTTCAGGTGTAAGTGGACTGCAGAGTCTTGACCAGAGTCTTAATGAAGAGAACGCCTTCACAACACAAGCCAAAATCTCTCCCAATGCTCTGAGATTTATCAAAAACTAAACTCCAAATCAGTCCAAAACCAATTATTGCATGAAACACAGTTCCCAAAGTTTGCTCAGTATCAAGAACTAAAGGTTAATTTCAGAAAATACAAGTCCAAATCTAGGCTGACAAGTCCAAATCACACTTCAGCCTATGTCAAATCAGTTTAAAGTGAACAGAATCGCTCCAAAACAAAGACTGAAATCAAAATCTAAGTATTCATAAAGCCAAGGCTCAAACTGGTCCAACTGTAGATAAACAAAGTCAAAATCTACCAAGTGCCAAGCCCTTGCTCAAACACCAACCCTAATGTTGTTGATGTTGAAGTTAATACCCATATTTCAGAAGTGCTTTGATTTAAGATAAACCTGATATTTACCTTTGGTTTTTAGAGTAAAACATGGAGTTTTGTGTTCTGTATTTCATCAGAGATTGTAGACATCAAACTCTTTAGAAAACAAGATTAAACCACCTGCAAGGCCTGAACCACATAGTTTGAACAGATTGAACTATAGGAGGCGCTCCTCCTTGGACACGTTTCCATATTGACCCACAGCAGCCTAAACGCGGGTCATTAGGTGAATGGTTGTAGATCATTTCAGTCTGATGATCTTGGGTTGCAAAGAGCAGAACCTGTTAATGGGGAGTTGAAAAATCTCCATGAGTCCACGGATGAAAGAGACTCGAGTTGTGGAACGGCAGCTAATCAATCTGCAGCTCTAACATTGTCGCTCTGGAGACGTGTCACCTGTTCACACTGACAGACTGCTGGGGAAAAGCCTGAGGGAAATTCACAGGTAATAATGGAGAAAGGTGCATTTTCAAAATCAAAAATCTTTCAATTAGGCATGTGAATCGGTGAGAACCAGAAGTTAAAACTGGTGTTTCTGTTGGATCTCTGACCATCAAACAAATTCAGAGCAGTTTACCGCCTCATTGAACGTATGTAAAACACTCATACCATTCTTAGCCTCCATGTTCCAGTCAGCTTCACACATTTACATGGGGGGGGGGGGGGGGAGATGGGGGAGTAAGGCTGTCTTTCTTTGGTTAGACAACCTCCCTTGTTAAACAGGGTTAATGTCTCCATTAGTGGTGAATTTGTTCCAAACCTGTAGAGCAGTAATGAGTCCTGGTGTTCCAGTCTATCCAAAAGGGCAATATGCAAAATGTCAAACCAATCCCCACAATGATGTTACCTTATGTTGAGTAAATGTTTCTTTTTCCCTCCCAGAGTCCTCCAGCCTTCTTATCTTCAGCTGTGGCTCTGGTTCCATCTGCAGCAGAACCTGAAAGCCCTTGAATTATTATGCAACATGTCAGGGAGATGACAAGAGGGAGAATCCTGCAAGAGGCAACTGGCAAAAGGAAATACTGTTAGCATTAGCACTAGCATCATCCTGCAGAAAGAGTCATTCAGGGAATACTTTTAGCACTAGTATTAGCACCATCCCACTTTTAGCATTAGCATCATCTTGCAGAAAGAGTCTATCAGAGAATACTGTTAGGACAAGCATTAGCATCATCATTGCTTCAAGCAGAGGAAGGATTCCCTTACCAAAAAGAAGTACACTGAAGTATACTTGAAGTATACTAAAAATGAATACAGTATACTTCCAAGTTTACTTTCAATGTATTTATCAGAAGTATAGTTATCCGAGTACATTTTTTAAATACTACTAAGTATACCTTAATACATACTTACATTAAAGTTTACTTACATTTAGACTATACTTGTACTTGACTCTATCAGAAGTATATTTCACCAAGTAATGTGTAAGTATACTTAATATATATATATATATATATATATATATATATATATAATATAATAAATATTTAAGTATCTATATAATATATATATATACTTATATATAATATATAAGTATATATATATATATATATATATATACTTAGATATTATATATAAGTATATATATATACACTTATATATAAGTATATATATAAGTGTATATATATATACTTATATATATATAATATATAAGTATATATATATATATATATATATATATATATATATATACTTATATTATATATAAGTATATATATATATATATATATATATATATATATATATATATATATAAAGTATTATATAAGTATATATATATATATATATTTAACCCTTTGGTGCATAGTGGTCACTACAGTGGACAGGTACTCAAAATTGTTATTTATTTGTTTTTGCTATTAAGCACAGCTGTTGAAGACTTTATTGCATTTGAGCCCCTCCATTTGGACTTCAGTAAGTTAAGCCAACATATTTCATGCTCAGAATGCACGCTGTCCACTGAGGTGGACATGTAATAAATTATTTGTAAATTGTAAAATTTTACAAAAAATGTTTGTTGAAATTTGTTTCATTCACACCTAAAGACAAATGAAAAAAAATTGTTTAAAAAATCATGGTTGAAGATTTCATAATTCATGCATCAAAGGGATATATATATATATATATATATATATATATATATATATATATATATATATATATATATATATATATATATATTTGGAACTTTTTATTTTTGAATTAGAACAACAAAATTTACATGGAGATGCATTTGAGTTTCTTCTTCCCTTCTCCAGGGCAGTGTTTCCCTGAACAAAGTTTGAATTTCCTTGTGGCCATAAGATCTATCCAACTTAACCAAGTCACCAATCAGTACATATAGTTCTGACAAGCTTTCTCTGTATTCATCGTATCTGCTCTCTACTACATTCTACATTTTACTTTGATCTAGCTAAATAACTCACCCAAAAGACAAAAATACATAAATAAATAAAAATAAAAATTAATAATAATAATTTTCACATGAGAGTACTATCTTTCTAACATTTGTTTTATTGGTTCCCAAATTTTTACAAATTTCCCTAGTCCCAGTCTTGCATTAATTTGTTCCATTTTGTAGACCTGTCTAACTCTGTCTCTCCACTGTGCCACCCTTGGGGGTTCTGTGTCCAGCCATAAAACTGCAATACACTTCTTGGCAGTCATAAGCAGAATTCTGATTACGTATGTCTCCATTATGTGTGTGTGATTTTTGGTACAGCATTCCCAGTACAAACCATTTTAACTTAAATTGTAATTTCACCTTCAAGGTTCTTTCAATTTCTCCCTAACACCTTCCCAGAATGGTATGAATTTAGGGCAGTCCAAAAGTATATGTGAAAAGTCTCCCACTAGCCCGCATTTTCTCCAACATAAATTTGGAACATTACTATTTAGACATGATAAGTGGAGTTTTAAAGCATGCATCTTCACCTTCCATTCAAATTCCCTCCAAGATGGACTATTAGTTAATGGCCTGCTTCAAGTGTTTCCTCCCATTCCTCATCTGTTATCATTATGTTCACTTCCAGTTCCCATTTTTCTTTAATATCTATATTCTTAATCAAATCCTGTTGTAAAGCTTTATATATTTTGAAATCAGTCCTTTTTGACATGTCCTTTTTGTTTAACATAATCACTTCCTCCATATTAAGTTTGTCCTTGCTTGAAACTTTGCCTTATTTTGAAATAACTACTCTGTCTGTCTGTCCTAAATAACATATTAAGCATGAAATTACGAATTATTGTGAAATTACACGCACAGGAAGTGCTTTTATTTTGTAGCATTTGCTTAGTCAGCTCTCGAAGGCGAAGCTTCTCAGCAGACGGAGAAGAAGAGCGAGGGTCGGAGGTGCATTAACCGTCGGAGGTCGCATTAACCGTCGGAGGTCGCGCTTCTGTTCTGCATCTGCACTTGACAGTCACTCGTTCTGCACCACTGAGCTAAATGTAAGTAGCCGCCATAAAAGTTGCTTAAATGTTGTAAATGTTTTTAAGACGGACATGGTGAGTAATGTTGGCCACGTAGCAAGCTAATATGCTAAGTCATTGCATGAGTTAGCTGTGTTAACTTTGTGTGCGACTAAAGTCCGTTTATTAAATTAAATGAGCAGCGCTATCTCATTATTAAAGGTTAGCATTACTTTAGATACTTTTTTATTAGACTTCTAGAGACTTATTCCCTCCATTTTTGTCCCCTCCATCGTAATTTTTTAAACGTGACGTTCTGAGAAAAAAATAAAAGCGGGAGCTCAGCGCCACCAAGTCAAACTTAAACGTCCACTTATTAAAAGTAAATGAGCAGTGGTCTCTTGTACAGCGATGAAAAAAATCAGTCTGTGTTGTAAACTATTTCCCCGTAGCACCCGTGCGATAGCTTTGCAAGCAGCCTGGTTTTTTAACCGTAGAAGAGGATTGTGACTGCAAGAGACGAAGCGGTGCTGATCTCGATGCTATGTTCCCTCCTTCCCTCCATTTTTGTCCCCTCCATAGTTGTTTTAAAATGTGATGTTCTGAGGACAAAAAAAAAACGGTAAGTTCAGTTAGCTCGCGGGAGTTTGTCAGTTTTTGTGAAAAGTTTTATTTAATACACGCATAGACATACAAATTTTGTTAATGTTTTTATCATCAAATTAAATAGTGCTCAGTTGCACATATCTTGAATGCAGAACGCTGTTTCTATTAATTTCACAGTATTTTAGTGTTGTAAATTTGTCCTTACTGTACACTGTTACTCCAGATTCTTTTCTTTAAATGTTATGTTTTTAGCTTTGTGTGGATAAGTCAAATTACACTTGAATCTCCTCACACACACACACACACACACACACACATATATATATATATATAATTTAGATGATTTAGCTTCATATATAGTGGAGGACTGCCTAAATTTTGCAGACTAACACAGATCTACCTTGTGATTCACAATGTTTGTTTTCTCTACTGATTATGCTTCCTGGTGTAGATGTGCATTCCTATGAGCTGTCAGCCACATCGGGAAGCCTGTCTATGAATCTGCAGTCAGACTTCAATGATCCAACCCCACTCTCTGCACACAAGATTGATGGCATGCTGCTGTTGACCCCCAAGAGGTTCATACAAGTGAGACCACTGGTGAGTAATTCTCACAATCTGCATTTTTGATGGCGCATCCTAAATAACATGACTATATATGTATGTATGTATATATATGTATACAGATTAGGGCTGTCGCGGTTGAGGAATTCCCCCTGCGGTGAGTCAGGGCAGCTCAATATTGCGGTATGCGATATTATTGCACCCCGTTTTTATTTATGTACTTAGCAAATTTGTTTGTTGATTACTAAACTCATGTCAATATTTCCTTTGAAACATTGTGCTTACATATTTAAAAAATGTTAGAAAAAATACATGGCCATTTTTAACACTTTATTGAATGCAGATCGAAGGGCAGTTACGGCATTTTCTGACTGAACTTAAAAACAACATTCAGGAGGTTTAACTTTGAAATGCAAATTTGGCTGCACATATAACAGAAATAAAAAAGTGCCCATTTTGTTTTGTAGTTTAAAATAAAGTATACAAAATGAGATGTCCTAGGCACTGTCATTTCACTTTCACACACAAGAATAACATAACTCGGTCATGTCCTTGTTATGCGCAAGGAAAACCAGCATGTTAACCTTATGCGGTTTGAGAGGGGTGACAACATTTCCAGCGACACTAAAAACCCTCTCGGATGGTGCGCTTGTTGCGCAAATACACATGTACTTACGTGCGACTTTGGAGAGCAATAGAAATCTCCCATGTTTGTTGCGCCACCATGTCAGAGGGTTTTCATTAGGGTCAATGGGTTCCTCCTGCAGGTAGCAAGTGAGCTCCAGCTCGGCTCTAACTCTTCGGGACGGTTACAGATGACGTGCTTGTCCGTGACTTCAGCAGGTCTCCAAGCGTTTTTTTCTTTGCCGCTGGTGGCAGCACTGCCTGCTCCAAGGTCTCTGGCTGGGCTGCAGCTGACGCACTGACACCGCTCCCTCCATCTTCCATGTGTACTATCTCCTCAATCAGCACGGACTTTACCTCTCAGCATGCGCTGTCGCGAGATTTAATCAAGTGCGGTAATGGCGGTGGCACGTCCTGCAGCGCGGTGGGTTTCTTAATATCGCAATATTTTCTTCTTGCGGTTACCGCGACAGCCCTAATACAGATTTGTCTTTTAAAACTGGTGAATATACAATTTACAGGTAATGCCTTTATGCTATGAGTATTAGAGCCACTGATGGAAAAAAATGTAGAATTCTGAGAAAATAAGTCATAAATCTGAGTTTAATCTCAGAGTTCTGACTGGTACCTAAAACAAAAAAAAAAGGCAAATTGGGGAAGATTATGAGGGGGGATCAGAATTCTGACTTAAATCTTAAAATTCAGGCTTTTTTTTGTTCGTTTGTTTTGGTTTTTTTTAACAAAAAAATTCCTAAATAGTTTTTTGTTTGTTTGGTTTTAGGTTCATGAAAAAAGTCAGAATTCTGACTTTAATCCCAGAATTTTGAAATTATCTGACTTTTTTTCTCAATTCTTTTCTTTTTCTTCAGTGACTCTAATACTCTTAGGCAATAAGGCAGTATTAGGGCCACTGAAGGAAACAATTGAATACTGAGATAAATGTCAGAGTTCTGACTTTATTTATTTTAAGAATTTTTTCTTCTTCAGTGGCCCTAATACCCCTCCGTATTATGTAATGTTAAACACTTCAAATTAACTTTTGAATTCAGCAGTTTATCATTGGATTTAGATGCAGATATCACTGTCTTGGAAAATTGGTCAGAGCAGTTTGGCATTAAGTAAAAACTTGACAGTATTTACACTCTTAATAATCTTCTTAGGAATTACATGATGTCCACACAAGGCGTACCACTGTTCTCCATGCCCTTCCTGTCTATCTACGTGAGGAAACCTCTGGATTTTTGAGGACGTGTGGTAAGTCCCAGTATTGTAAATTTGAACAAATCATTCTATTTATTTATGCATAAATACAACACAAGGACAACGCACATGAACATTTTGGAAAATGTGCCATTGTTTCAACTACAAACCTTTGGCAAGATGTTTAAGCCTGCCACACAAGAGAGCAATCAGCTGAGCAAACGGCCTCGAAGGACTGTTTGCTCAGCAGATTGCTCGCCATGTGCGCCTGATTTTCACTGAGTTTTCCGCCTCACGAGACGCTGAGGTGAATATCTGACCAGTTAGATATTTTCTGCCTCACAGGGGTAAAAACTCGCTGTGTGTGCACTACTGAGCTGCTGGCTGAGCTGAAATATTCTAGTGGCCAATCAAAGCACTTTCTCCGCTCACATGACCCCAAGATGTATTCAGATGCAGCCCCCTGCCTTGTCTGCGTGTCTGAAAAATAAACAAAACGGTACCTTGTGGATCGATGGGCCCACTGTTTCCATTACCCTTTCGGAAGGATTCTGGGTCTTCCAGGTGCATCTCTTGGAGTAAATTGGCATAAACTCCTTGCCTGGTCCATCTTTCCAGCTACTGTAACCATATTTTCCCAACCTTGAAATGCCGGTGGCGGCGACGTTTCATCAACAAAAAAGGATAGGCATTTCCTCCGTTTCCAGCTCTGTCTCTGTGTTGTTTCTTTTCTGACATGCAGACAGGGGGCTGCCATCTTGGGGTCATGTGAGCGGAGAACGTGCTTTGGTTGGCCACTAGAATATTTCAGCTCAACCAGCAGCTCGGTAATGCGCACACGGCGAGTTTTTACCCCTGTGAGGCGAAAAATATCTTAACTGGTCAGATATTCACCTCAGCGTCTCGTGAGGCGGAAAACTCTGTGAAAATCAGGCGCACATGGCGAGGTATCTGCTGAGCAAGCGGTCATTCAAGGCCGTTTGCTCAGCAGATGGCCCTCATGTGTGGCAGGCTTTAAGGCACTGAGAAAAATCAACAATCACTGCAAAGAATTCAAGCAGCTTTCATTAGCGTAACACTGGCACACACGGAAGCCATCTCACTTTATTCGTAAATGAGAGCACAAAGCAACAGAATGAACGGGAGTAGGGCTGGGCGATATGGCCTAAAATCAATATCACCATATATTGAAGATCTCACCTCGATAACGATAAGTAGACGATAACTACAGGAATGCGTAGCAACAATATTTGTCCACTAGATGGGGCTGTCTCATGTATTACATTGACTAAAATTTTACATGACTCAAGGTGCTACAGCTTCTTAAAGGGACATAAATGTGGCCAACTTACACATCTTTTCATTTTTTTATTATCAAATTTATTGACATGGGAAAAATTATCTGGATGAGAGACAAGAACTTGGATAACGATAAATCTTTGACATGTTGCCCAGCCCTAAACAGGAGTCTATCAGACTGCATTTATTGTTATTTACACGACAATCTACTGAAATAAAAATGGCCACAGTCAGAGTTTCAGTTCAGATGTGATTAGTGTATGATCTCCCTTTCATTTTTGTAAGGATGATACCAATGAGCCGGACGTCGGATGCAGCAGTTGTCCTCCTGACAACCATCACCGATGATGCCGAGAGTCCAGTTACGTACGACCCAGTGAGAATCTGTTATCCTAGAGGGTGATGTGATTGTCAACCTCTCCAGCCTTCCTGATGCCTTCCTGGTAATGTTCGGCCTCATCTATGCCTTACATCTAGATTATCCGAAGGGACTGACCAACACATTTGAGTTCACGCAGAAAATCTTACTTGGTCTTGATGAGTCTAAACTGTCACCCATGCTGCAGAGTCAAAAATGACCTGATGTTACATGTGTAACTCAAAATCTGATAGAGTGGTGGATTCAGATGGCTCACTCTGTTAGAGCATTGTCCACATCCACAATGTAATTTACTATTTGTCTGCTCTTTAATTGTTGATGTTAAAGTAACACACCACCATTTGGGCAAATATGTTCATTTTCCACTTCTCCTTGAGTTAACCCTCCCACTGTCCTAATGGGTAGGACCCCCGCGAGGAAAGTTGACCATTGAGCAGGGTTGATGGTTCATCCTTTGGGTCCACGTGACAGGGGTGAGGAGTGAGCACCACCTCAACCCTGCCACGTGGACCTCAAGGGATAAACCATCAACCTGCTCAATGGTCAACTTTCCTCGCGGGGTCCTACCCATTAGGACAGTGGGAGGAACAGTTGAGTTTTACCTTTTCTCTGTTCGTCCAGCCGTTCTGAGTCTGGCAACTCTCATTTGTGGCTTTAGTTTAGCGTGAATAATTGAATCGGATTAGCCCATAGGCTAATCCGATTCAATACTCAACTGGTTTTATGCCAAATGGCATAAAGTACTCACTGACTTACTTGATAGTGGTTAGTGTAATTCATATTTTGTTAATGTTGAATTGATGTGCATCCTGATGTTGCTTTAAACCACCTACTCAAAGAAAGACTACACACTGCTGTTGTCCAGTTTTCAAAAGTGTGCGTTTGTAATTGTTTCTTTCAAATTTTGTTTTATTTTCTGTTTGAGTTGGCTTAATCGGTAACTTTAATTTGATCATAATTTGAAAATATATTTAATATAAACTCCAAATATTTAAGTTTATTTATGGTCTGATATACTCAAATATCTGAGTTTATAAACTCAGAAAATATGAGGCAACTGATTGCCTTACAGTTTTTGAGTTCTGCCTACTTATTCGGGTTTACAGTGTACGAACTGTAAAGATTTTGTGGTGTCAGAGTTCACCTAACAGTTCAAGTGTTCATTTTTTTGCTTTGTGTGTTCACAGGGCATGCTCAGTTGAAGTTTCCATCTCTGCGCGTTCAAGATGTAAGAAAAATAACACGAAAGAAATGCAACAATGAAAACTTCAAAAAGGCATCAACAACCAAGCAAGTGGATCCATAAAATGGACTGATTTTTTAATGGCATTTTTAAAAAGTCTTTCAAAATGGACAGAATTAACGCGTCATGTTCAGAACAGTTTGCGTTCTCATCTTTGATTAATCCTGGTAAACAGGTCTGTTTTTGTTCTGTTCTAATTCTCTCTGTTTAATAAATTTAAACAAAATGACTTAGCTATTTTATTTTACTTTTTTTCTCTGCATAAAGACGAAGTATCAGTAAATAGTGGAAAGTAAATGTATTGGTAGTAAGCAAATAGCAGATGTTAAATGTTACTTGCAGTATGTGTTTATAGAAAAAATAGAGATACTTAAATGTACTAAAAGAATATTACGTCAAGTTTACTGTAAAGTATACTTTCAAAACTAAGTATACTCAATTATATAAGAAGTACACTACAAGTAAACATATATTATTTAAGTATACATTCAAAGAGAAAAGTATACTCAATTATTTCATAAGTACACTACAAGTAAACTTATAATGTTACTTAAAGTTTATTTTTAAGTATACTTTCAAGGGCAAAAGTTTACTCAATTTTATTAGAAGTAAACTTATACTGTTACTTTTAAGTATACTTTCAATGAGAAAAGTATACTCAACTATATCAAGAGTACACTACAAGTAAACTTATATTGTTACTTTTAAGTATACTTCCAAGGAGAAAAGTATACTCGATTATATCAGAAGTACACTACAAGTAAACTTTTCAGTATACTTCCAAGGAGAAAAGTATACTCAATTATATCAGAAGTACACTACAAGTAAACTTATAAGTATACTTTCAAGGAGAAAAGTATACTCAATTATATCTGAAGTACACTCAAGTACACTTGTGAGGTTACTTTAAGTATACTTTCAAAGAGAAAAGTACACTCAATTATATCAGAAGTACGCTACAAGTAAACTTATAAGTATACTTTCAAGGAGGAAAGTATACTCAACTATATCAGGAGTACACTACATGTAAACTTATATTGTTACTTTTAAGTACACTTCCAAGGAGAAAAGTATACTCAATTATATCAGAAGTACACTACAAGTAAACTTATAAGTATACTTTCAAGGAGAAAAGTATACTCAACTATATCTGAAGTACACTCCCAAGTACACTTGTGAGGTTACTTTAAGTATACTTTCAAAGAGAAAAGTATACTCAATTATATCAGAAGTACACTACAAATAAACTTAAATTATTACTTTGAAGTATACTTGCAGTATACTTCAAGTATACTTTTAGTGGCCCAATTTAGTCCCAAGGAGTATACTTCTAAGTAAACTTTAAGAACAAGTATGCAAATAAACTTCTGTACACTTAAGTATACTTGAAATTATATACTTAAAGTATACTTCTTTTTCGTAAGGGTTGCACAGATGGCAGCCTGGACACAGCCAATGAACTGAACAAGTTCTTCAATAGGTTCAGTTCAGAAACAAACCCAGCATCCTCCTCGCCTGTCCCCAGCCAATCAGACATCCCATCCTCCTCTGATCCAACATTTTCCTGTCACACACCAGCTCTTTTGTCCTCTAACACAGTCATGGACTCTTCTGGTTCTATAAATCTGTCTTCAACCAAGTCAGGAGATGCTGCTGCCCCATTTACCTCCCCCTCCCACAAAACTGTCCCTAGAAGTCAGGTGAAGAGGCAGATGGAGAGACGGAACAAGGCTGCAGGTCCAGATGGTGTCAGCCCCAGAGTACTGAAGGCCTGTGCAGAGCAGCTCTGTGGGATTCTGCAGCACCTCTTCAACCTCAGCCTGGCCCAGGAGAAGGTTCCAGTCCTCTGGAAGACATCCTGCCTTGTTCCAGTTCCAAAGAAAACTCGCCCAACAGTCAATGACGACTACAGCCCGGTTGCCCTGACATCCCACATCATGAAGGTCCTGGAGAGACTCCTGTTGGTCCACCTGAATAAGCAAACTAGAACATATCAGGACCCGCTGCAGTTTGCTTATCGCCATGGAGTTGGAGTTGAAGATGGCATCATCCAGCTGCTTCAACCAACCCACTGTCATCTGGACAAAGCAGGCAGCACTGTGAGGGTCATGTTCTTTGATTTCTCCAGTGCATTTAACACAATTCAGCCTGATTTACTTTGCCAGAAACTCCAGAAGACACAGGTGGGGGCCTCAACTATCGCCTGGATTAAAGATTACCTGACAAACAGACCACAGTTTGTGAGGCTGAAGAATTGCACATCAAACCAGGCAATCAGTAACATTGGAGCACCACAGGGGACTGTACTCTCACCATTCCTTTTCACCCTGTACACCTCAGACTTCCAGTACAAACCAGAGACCTGCCATCTACAGAAATACTCAGATGACTCTGCAGTTGTCGGGTGTATCAGAGATGGACAGAAAGCTGAGTACAGAGAGCTGGTGGAGCGCTTTGTGGCATGGTGTGGAAACAATCATCTGACCTTGAATGTGAACAAAACAAAGGAGATGATTTTAGACTTCAGAAGAAACAGGGTGGAGTCAAACACTGTTTCCATCATGGGAGAAGAAGTGGAGGTGGTTGAGGAATACAAATACCTTGGAGTTCACCTGGACAACAGACTGGACTGGAGAAAGAACAGCAAAGCCGTTTACAAGAAGGGACACAGCAGACTGCACTTCTTGAAGATGCTTAGGTCCTTGAATGTCTGTAGCAAGACACAAGTCTGTTGTTGAGAGTAATCTCTTCAGGCATCATCTGTTGGGGTAGCAGCATCTGAAGCAGGGACCTGAAAAGGCTCAACAGCCTAATAAAAAAGGCTGGTTCTGTTCTGGGGACGACTGTGGAACCACTGGAGGAGGTAATGCAAAGAAGTATTCTCCAGAGAATCAAGAAAATGATGGACAACCCTGAGCATTCTCTTCACAAGACTGTCCGACAACGGAAGAGTGTCTTCAGTCAGAGGCTTCTTCAGTTTCGCTGCAACACTGACCGCTACTGGAGATCCTTCCTGCCAACAGCCATTGTAATATACAATAACTCTTTGAAGACTTGATTATCATTATTATTCTGAGCTACTACAGCAATCAGTTTCCCTCTGGGATTAATAAAGTATTTTTTGAATTGAATTGAATTGAATCTCGTTGTTAGCATTAGCATCATCCTGCAAAAAGAGTCTTTCAGGGAATACTATAAGCACTAGCATAATCGCACTACCAGTATTGACATTAGCATCATCCCACTGTTAGCATTAGCATAATCCTGCAAAAAGAGTCTACAGGGAGCCTAATAAGTCTCCTCCCTTTCCGGTCGGCTCATGGGTCTCTGGAAGAACAAAAAAATGAGTGCAAGTCAGCGGGGCTAAAGAGCTATTTTCTAATCTGCTTTGCTTTACGCCCTGGCTCACACATATGTTGTAATGCAATTTAAATGAATACTACGGTGGGTGTTTCGACCATGTCACGTACTTTGAGATTTTTTGGGTTGTAAAAGATCGTAATTAGCATGACTACAAATTAGACATTTGCACAGGGGCAGATTTAGGACTGAAGAAGATCCGGGGCTTAACACACACACGACCACGCGCGCACACACACACACACACACACGTGACACGCACTAGTCAACATCATATATATTTGTCTTGTACCACATAATTTTTAATCTGAAACTACATATTCAGCATATTCAGGGCAGAGTATTGTTCCAGTTAGTGTTTAGTGTGAGATGATAGTAAATATTCCCTTTCTTTCTCCATCAACTTTACCTGATGAGCTAACTTTAGGCAAACCAGCAGCACAACAAATATTTTCAAATAAGACTCACAAACCTGAGTCAACACCAGTCTCATCAAAGCTGGGGTTCTGTCATTGTACTTTTGGTCTAAAAAACATCCTTATGTCCATCTTCACTCGTGCGTTTCAGGCAGAGAGTGTAGAAGAAGCCGGCTGCTGAAGGGCTTCTTCTTCAGTGGAGGAGGCTCAGGCAGGCTGTATACAAACTACTGCCAGCTGCTCCCTCTCTGTTGGACTTTGGTACTGCATGTTACTTCCACGTTTGAGATCCGGGGATTTTCATTAAAGATTCGGGGCTTCAGCCCAAGTAGCCGGGCCTAACGCTGCCCCTGCATTTGCACGTCGCATATGACATCACCACAGAATCTCTTCTCCTCTAGCGTAGCTGCTACATTCCAAATGGCCAAATTTATGGTGTTTCTTTCCTCCTGAAGGAAGGATTCAAAGTTCACAAAATTTACAGCCATTTTTCTTCTGCTGATTTTAAAACTTTAGCTGAAGCAGCACTTATGCCAGCACCTGCTTCAAATCTAGTCACCAGTGTGGCAGCTGAGCGTGGATTCAGCCTCTAGAACCATGATAAAACAGTCATGAGTCTGTCTGAGGCAAAATCTACAAGCTCTTGGTCATAACCCCTTCAGCAAGCATGTTTATAAATCTGATTACAAACGGATAAGCAGATGACCAGTTCAGATTCATGTGGATCAGAAGAAATGTGCATTTGGCTGCAGCAGGGGAAATGTTCCTAATTTAAGTGAAATTGCTTGAATGCATTGTTTATGTTACTGGGTCACTCAGGTCAGCTTGTTTAGTTAAAATAATTAGAACATAACGGTGCTGAATGTTTATTTGTCATTAATTTAAAAATGAAACTGATGGGGAAAATAGATCATGGGACCCCCGGCTGCAAGCAAACAGGGAACAGGGAAATAAAGATGGGGCTTCTTTTTAACACTATGACTGTGTTTAAAAAAGAGTTTTCTGCTACACTTAGAGCAGCCGATGACTGCACACATCCTCCCAGCCTTCCTAGATTTGTTCACTAAAGAAAAACCTTCCATGTCTTCCTGCTTATTTTGAAAAGCCCACTTCTGGCACAGCGCCTACGTCTGTCTGACTGGGATTTGCCACTGCAGCAATGGCGGCGGCTCAACTTCAGTTTATTTCGCAGAATCTGTCTACTTGACGTCACTACAGAATCTCACTTACGTTCAACATAGCTGGATTTATTGTGGTTTTCTCCATGTTTAATGCTTGTGTCATCCTGGAAGAAGGATTCAAAGCTCGCTAAACTCACAGTCATTTTCTGCTCTGTGTCTTGTTTGATGACATCAGTTTAGTGAGACACATTTGTGGTTCTAAACGTCTTTTCACACAAAACCTACAAATAATTTTCAAAAATAAGCATTTTCTTGGCATCTAAATGTTTATT